TGTGAACCACCATGCTAGGCCATGTCCCTAGTCTTTACCTCGAATTAAAAACAGACTAATTTTGCTATTTGCCCTTGACCCTAATTGTCAAGCTGTGGTTACCTGTTTTCTCCTGTGGTGTGGGGAACTGTGTGAGTATAAGCACCAATCACATGCATACGTGTCTACATGTATTTCTGCATTATGCAATACTCTCTTACAAGACATCCAACTTTGAATAAGGAGAAAAATCAGTACCTTTATGGGGCCCACTGTTGGAAGGTAACTAGAAATCAACCTTGTCATTAAATCCTGGCATCCTGTCTGCACCGGGTGCATGTATTAATTAGCTATTGCAGCATAACAAACCAGCCAAAACTTCTTAGCTCATAATTGAGATGATCACCAATTTAGACTAGGTTCAGTGGGCCATTCTTCTGTTTTCAGCTGAGCTCCTTCAGACATGTGTCATCAGCTGCTTGTTGACTGGGCAGCTGTGATTCTTAGGGGGCTCTTCTACTTGTAGGGCTGAAGCACACCTTGCTTCTCAAAATCAATGCCCAACAACACATCTTTATTTTTCATCACAAAAACAAATCTAAAACTTAAAAAAAAGTTAGAGAAATTAAATTTAACAAAGTTTAATTGAGCAAAGAATGATTTGTGGATCCAGAGTAGGTTCAGAGAGACTCCAGTACAGCCACATGCTGGAAAAAGATTTATAGACAGAAAAATCAAAGTGACGCACAGAAAATGAAAGTGAGATACAGAAACAGCCAGATTGATTACAGCTTTGAATTTGCCTAATTTGAACATGATTGGAACAGTTTATGTTATTTTATTGTCAAAAACACAGTGGTTGGTACAAGAATGGGTTACAGCCTAATTACATATATCTAGTTAGGTTTCAGTTTACTATGTACAAAAAGCCCTACTGACCAAAATTAACCATGGAAGTGGGCAGCTTTAGGCTATAATTAAACAATTTCTCTCATTTGTTCATCTTCTCGATTTTGAAAGTTAGACCAAAATTTTAGACATTGATACCAATCTAGCACCATCAAAAATGTACTTATTGCCCAGGTGTGGTGGTTCATGCCCGTAATCTCAGTACTTAGGGAGGCCAAGGCAGGTGGATCATCTGAGGTCAGGAGTTTGAGCCCAGCCTGGTCAACGTGGTGAAACCTTGTCTTGAAATCGTGCCACTGCACTACAGCTTGGGTGACGAGAGTGAAACTCCATCTCAAAAAAAAAAAAAAAAATTACTTAATTAGTCTCAAATTCCACTGTAAAATAGCAGAACTGTGGGTTTGTAAAGTGGAAGGAAACAAAGACGTCAAGTTCTTATTTTTTTAAAAGGCTTACAGTAGGCCAGGCGCGGTGGCTCACGCCTGTAATCCCAGCACTTTGGGAGGCCGAGGCGGGCGGATCATGAGTTCAGGAGATCGAGACCATCCTGGCTAACGCGGTGAAACCCCGTCTCTACTAAAAATACAAAAAAATTAGTCAGGCGCGGTGGCGGGCACTTGTAGTCCCAGCTACTCGGGAGGCAGAGCCAGGAGAATGGCGTGAACCCGGGAAGTGGAGCTTGCAGTGAGCCGAGATCGTGCCACCGCACTCTAGCCTGGACGACAAAGCGAGACTCCGTCTCAAAAAATAAAAATAAATAAAAAAATAAAAAATAAAAGGCTTACAGTAAAGGGGAGCTCTTCAAGTTGAAATCTGCTGTTTACAGAAAAAAAAAATCTGGTCTGTTTTAGGATCTATCTATTTATTTAAATTTTTACTTTGATTATGTTACTTCATTATGGAGTCACTTTAGCATAAGTGACTCCACTTTAGTTTGATTTGGTCTGTTTGGACCTATTGCACAAGTGCAATCCAGAATGGTGGACTCTAATAATTTTGGTTAAAAAATATCCCCTTTTCGGTTAAGTTCTCATATAGGTCAGAGTGTGACCAAAACTCAGGGCCTTAGTGCAACTTTAAGTTTTTATTATTTTGGTTTTTTTCCTTATCATGTCATTCATAGGTTATGATGTCCTCATGGTCACATATGTCTTTTAGTTTTTGTCATTCCAGTTAAGGAGAGACTATTTGACATTCTACAGGAGACCACATGCAAACATTTAAAACTTTTGAGAGAATACAGTGTAGTAGGGAGACTCCTATTTTGACTATCAGGGAGGATAATAACAGGAGTTTGAAGTATGCTTTTTAAAAAGCCAGTGTCTCCATGAACCAACCAACTAAAATTAAATAGACAAAATAATTAGCTAGATAAACGGTCTACTCATTTTAACCAAGCAGCCTGTTAAGTAATCCCCTACAACGGAATCTCTGTAACATCTGATATATTTCTCCATGTGCAACTACAAGTATTAGCAACTGCTAATGCTTTTCTGTTTATCCAGTAAGTAATCTAGAGAAATTCTACTATTTGGCACAACTTTAGTAAGAAAATTTAAAGTCTATTGTGTAACCATAGCCTTTACAGTAGAATCTGCTATAGAGTCTATTATGGGGGATAAATTTTTCACCATTTCCTCATTTATTCTAAACCATAATAAAATGATGCCCATTCAGAAGAGTAATGGCCTCCTGACAATGCTCTTTAACCTATTCTGAATAAATTCTCTTTAACTTGTGAAGTAAGGTAAGAGCAGTGGATGAATATTCTGTTTCTGATATTATGAGAAAACAAATATTTCATAAAAATTTCTCACCCACATTGGCCCTTCATCTTTTGCCTATCAAGGCATAAATTTGTTCATATATATAAGCTTGGCTGCAAAATCCTCTGCATGTAAAACTATATGAATGCACACAAGAAACCCCCTTTTAAAAAAAATTTTAAATATATATATTTCAAAAATATTTTGAAAGTAAGATCACTGGGAAGAAAAAAAATGAATACAATAAAATTTAGGAACAAAAATGCA